TTCAGGGACACCCTGATCCAAACCACTGTGTTACATGATATAAGGTTACAGACAGTATTTGAATCTGAACGAAAATCAATTTGACACTGTCAAATTCAATTTGTTTATTTTATTCAAAGATTCGATTGAGTAAGTTTGGAATTTGAGGCAGTGTATGAGATCATTGGGAGTTCAAAAATGAAATTGTCATTTGAATTATGATAGTGATAGATACATTGATTTGGTACTTGAGTAGCACAGATATCTTATACCTATATCTCTAGGAAGGAAGCAAGCTCCAGTCAATTTATTTCACCTTCCACAGGAGATAATTTTTTTTAAATGAGGGAGCAAACGCTTACTTTCGATGCAGTGAGTAGATAAAATAGTTAATTGTCGCCACCTAAGTGCAACACACTGTACTAGAACTGATTTTTTTGGAAGGCATATAGTTTTCATTGATTATTGTTATATATACTAATTAAATATTGTCATGCAGTAAAAAATTAACTAACCATAAAATTACCCTTCTCTGGGAGAAATAAGTTTTCCTGAAACAGTCAGATGTTCCATGAGAAATGTATAGCATAACAAAAAATGACCTCGTTTTATGAAATTGTAATGAGATCATTGAATTCGGTGCTGTATCAAATGATCCCAACTATACTAGTTAGGAGTAGGGAGTACCGTGTGGTGCTTCTCACCCCTGTACCAGCAAATTTGTATGGCGTTGCTGATTTTCCAATAATAACGAAGCCAGATTTTCCCTCTGGAATCTCAGAAGGGTATGGGCAAATATTGGGGAATGAACCCCAAACAGATTTACTAGATTTACCGGACACTGGTAAAATCAAGGGTCACATGTGGCTTCATAGTCTGGTGTAATAAAAGTTTGCAAGGGATAGAGCCAAGGCAAAGCTCCCTAGTCTTCAGCGGCTGGCAAGCTTGGCCATTACAGGAGTGATATCCTCAACTCCAACGGCAGCTATGGAAACCCTGCTGAACCTCACTGCCCTCCAAATTCAGTGGCGGCTCGTGACTTTCATGACAGAGGAGGCTGAATGATATGAGATTTATTGTGAAAAACAACTCTCTACGACTCACCCAAATCAATAGCTCTAATGACATTCTGTTTACCAGTTAACCTGAACTTAATACTTGAAGAGATGTGTTCCTGTGATTTGCAGTGTCTATCCAATCCGCGAGGGAAAATTTTCAAATCATTATATCCTAATCGCCCCCAACATGATAACTTATCGGTTGAAAATAATATGCAGTACCAACAAAATAGCTTATTTCTTACCTCAGATCCCGTCAACCAGATATATTTTTTATAATTATCAGAATTGAACGAACGATTTTGTTTGCTACCTGTTACAATCAGATGTTTTAATTCCGAGTAGGACGTTTGTTTTTCACAATCAATTTATCTTCATAAGACTGAATGGGTTCACCAAAAAGTATTCCACTAAATCGCAATCGTTTAAAACACTCATTTTTCAGAAATTTATAGAACCCCTAACCATTAACCTAACATAAACAATGCAATGCACTCGCGCTGGATTGTCCGCAATTCGCGACGCGACACGACAAACACGTGCTATTCGGGCATTTGCATTGCGCGCGTGAGTTGCGCGTTGTGAAGGAGTCTAGCCTCCTATAGATGTTGCCAGTTGAATATTTTACGCGTGATTTGCAGACTTCAACGTGTGATGCGTGGGCCAGCACTGTTGCCAATTCAAAAATATTCACCTAAAGACAGGAGAAAGTATAAATAATATCAGTTTAAGGAGAATCTCTGAGGAGGCTCAGCCTCCGTTGCCTCCTCTGAGGAGCCGCCACTGTCCAAATTGTCCTGGAGAGGGAAGTCAGGATGGTTTTCAATAGATTCCTGTCATTGGAAACTCAAATTAGAGGTGGGCGACTGCTGGACCACTCTGGGATACTGTGTGAAATAAAAAATCATCAAACTCTAGGAATGGTTCCAGACATGTTGGCCACTAAGACACACGAAAAAAAGTCTTTCAAAGTCATCTTCCTGAAGAGAGAGGAAAACCCCGCTCGGAGTTGGGGCCGATGTGTTCAGCAGGAAATCGAAGACGGAAATCTCAGTCAATCTCGGTAAGTATACTACAATCTTTCAGGCGGGCGTCTTTGCAATTGAATTGTGTGCTAGAGTTAACGAATAGATCTCTACTTAGTAATCAAAAACATCAGTATTGTATTTTTTTTTTATCGCTTGGAGCGCACGAAAGGGAATCCCTATAATGTTCAAAGAACATCGTGCGTTCCTAGGGAGGATAGGGACAGGAGGTAGGTATTGGAATTTTTTTTGAACTTTTGGAGATTATATGTTGTTGGGAATACTTCCACAGGCAATGAATTCCAGAGCCTAGCCGTTCTATGGATGAAGGAGTCTTGATAAAGTGCTGTTCGACATCTTTCGAGGTTGACAACGAAAGGATGTGCTGACTGGGCTTGTCTAGTTCGTCTGATTGGTATTGCTAGTGAAGGGATGATAGCAGAGATTTCCGAAGAACATTTCCCGTGGAAGTATCGATAGAAAAGTGAAAGGTCGCCGACCTTTCTACGGTGTTCCAATGATGTCAAAGAGTGAGTGAGTGTGGCGTCACCCACCAGGCGAATGGCTCTTCTCTGGATGGAATCTAAGAGCATCAGCGTATGTTTTGCTGCTGAACCCCATATGTGGGAACAGTATTCTAGAACAGGCCGTATCTGCGCTTTGTAGATCATGAGAAGCTGTTGAGGTGTAAAGTAGCTTTTCGCACGGAACAAGAATCCGAGTTTTTGTGAAGCAGCTTTTGCGATGGATCTGACATGAATATCCCATGAAAGAGTGTTGCTGATGGAAATACCGAGCATAGATATGGTGGGCTTGGTGGGGATGGTGGAGTCAGACATTACAATATCGGGCATACTGAGTTCCGCCTTTCTAGAGAAAATGCAGGCTTGAGTTTTGGTGGCGTTGAATTCAACTAGGTGGTTTGTTCCCCAGGCTGTGATTTCAGCAAGATCTTCATTGACAGCATTGACCTGCCTGCGCCGTGAGTTCTTAGTTTCCTGGGAAGAAATGGGAATTCTGGAAGAGAACGCAGTATGGAGGGTACTATCATCTGCAAAGCTGTGGATGGGACAAGTTGTTACTCCCAACAGATCATTGATATGAAGCAGGAATAATGTTGGTGCCAAAATTGATCCTTGTGGAACGCCGGAATTGATGCCAAAGGTATCAGACGATACACCGTCCACCACCACGTGAAGCGATCTGCCTGAAAGAAAACTCGATAAGAGATGGCATAGCTGAGGTGGTAAGCCGTATGATGGTAGTTTGTGGAGGAGTCCTTCGTGCCAAACACGGTCGAATGCTTTCGAAATGTCCAACGCGACAGCTAGAGATTCCCCGTGTTTTTCTATTGAAGATTGCCATAAATGGGTGACGTAGGCAAGTAGATCTCCAGTAGATCTTCGGTGGATCAGACAGTCAGGCAGCTCTTAAAGCACTGAGCTCCAGTACGATAAATTCCAAGCTTGTATGGAACTCTATTGAATCACTAGAATACCTGGGTTCTAAGAACAGAGTTACTTTGCTGTAGGTGCATGGACATCAGGGGTGGAGGGCAACGAGAAAGCCGACATCCTCGCCAAACAGGGAACCGATTCTGTGTTGGTAGGGCCAGAACCATACTTTAGGGCATTAGGGTCTCTGCAAGTGCAAGTGCGGCCAAAAAAACTATCTCAGACTGGGCAAATGAGAAAAGACTCACGTACTGGTCTGAATTACCAGGATTAACCCATTTGAAGGCTTTCCTGCCTAGAGCATGGAAAGAAAAAACCAGGCAGATCCTAGAATGGAGCAGGGGCAACCTATGAATTTTGACAGGACTGCTTGAGGGACACTGTCATCAAGGATAGAGCTGTATACAATATACTATTTTCATGCTCTTGCTCAGAGAGACTAAGGTTTGACATATTTGACTTTGCCAATTTAGAACCAATGGAATTTAGACTAATCTCACCTGATTCAATCAAGAACATTGTAATCATAAGTGGATTGTACAGTGAACTGTGACCTCTAGGGATGAGACACAATCTAACCACCTGGGATGACAGTGGATGGGTGGGCTTAGCCCCACTCACATGGAACCGAACCTAACCTAATTTTCCAAACACCATACAGTATCAAATCAACTATAATGGGAGCAAAAATGTTCAGTAAATAAAAAAAAAATACTGGCTTTCAGTACTGATATTTTGATCAATGATCTATCACCTTTAGAAATGCTGTTCAGGAATATTTGGTGGAAATATCCCTCTCTCCATGGGAAGTTTCATTCAACTCTGTACTCACATGAACTGTTGCCAAGCACAGTGCCTAAAGGAAATGTTTCTTATGGTACTATATTTCTGATTATTTTCTTCCTATGACTTTGAACCAATCAGAACTTACAAATGAGTCAAGCTACCTTGAATAATTTTGAATAGTTGTGAATATAGAGTAGCTCCACCAATCAGAAATTTAGAATTATTTCCATTTCTATACTTAGCAACTAATTCATATTGTCACATACAAAGTGCATCAAGTTTTGACATTAGTTCAGACTACTCAGAAAATAATCTCATAGAATACAATTAGAACTTTGAAACCTTCAATGTTATACATCTCAAAGATCCTGCACAATAATTACAAATCCTCTGGCTTGGCTGTTGGATTATTTATCATTTCAGGATGTTCTCTGAACAGTACAGGATATCAGTTTTCATGGGAACCAGAACATAAAAAAAATATGCTCTCTGTAATAATTAAGCAACAAGTTATGGATGTATAACCAGAATATTTTGAAGTACTTATAGTATTACTACTGACTATAATCAATGCTGGGTCACATGACACCTCCCAAAAATAGCATGGGCTTGTTTATAATTCATTCATAATCTGCCAATATCATCAATATTCCATTGAGTTTCAAGTTATAGTTAAGGAAGTCAGTTAACTTTCTCACCTTCTTTCCAGAATGAAAAAATGCAGCAGCTAAAATATGCTCACCCTGCAGGAGTGTTTGTGAAATGAGAACCCAATCATTCAAAATGTTATCCTTAGCTCTATACATTTTTACACAACCACTTTCATCAGCTACAAGAAGTAGGTCTCCAGTAAAGTCCCATTGCAATACAGTTACAGGAGACGAATTTCCCAAAACCCTGGAATAACATCAGGTAGTAAATAAATTATGTGAAATCCTCAATTATGAGATGTCACCATACTTATGAACCTGCCATGGATTGTTCAGGTCAGCTACATAAACATTTGAACTCCAATACAATGAGTTACATTCTTCAATATTACTCTCTGTGCTGAATGATATTACATTTCTACTGGAGACTGCACACAAAATTGACTTCTCTAACCTAAAATCAGAGAGCAAAAAGGATATCACTTCACAGTTATATAGTATATTATTATGAATTATTACTTATTGAAGATATTTTGTTTATAAGGATTCAAGGTTCTGCTAGGTTTCTTGCTTATAGTAAATATATGATCCATTTTCTCTCACAGTTGAGATATCACATATTTTTTAAACCAAGTATATAAAGATACTATTTCCTGGACCCCGAAAACTTCCAGCAATGATCAAATGCTTATGCCATACATAGTGGGAAACTCAAATGAGGTAGATAAATATTGGAATATATGTGAGAAAGGGGATTACAGCTCAAATTCAACTGCTCAAGCTCACTACTTAGTCCAGGACTCTGGAGATGAACATCATCTTCACATCACATTAACGAGTTTACCGAATGTTTATGGGTATATGTATTTATGATATTATTTTCTATTATGTCATTTTTATAAACAATTTTTCTTGATATTTATCATTTTCCATACAGATTCCCTTCCCACCATCATAGGTGAGGTAAGTGTGAGATCTTACAAGTGACAACTGACAAGTCGTGGTGACAAGTGTCAGCTGACGAGTGATCAGTGTTGCCAACTCAGATTTCCAAAAATCACAGAATGGCCACCTGAAAAACACCAAAAAAAACACCAAACCTAGTGATTTTCTGGTGGTTTCAACTTCAGTTCAGATCACTGTATTAAGGACCCAGATATTGGAAATCTGCTGGATGATCAAGATCAACGGATCTTGGCTCAACGATATACAGGGTGATTCACATAAGAGCAGGCAATATATATGAAGTAGAGCCTACAATAGCTTTCACTAATGAAGACAAGGATTGACGAAACTGTTGTATTTTCCTACGAAACTTTAATTGCTGTTGATGAAAAGAAACTTGAACGTGAGTCTGATGTGATTTTTAACTTTCATTATTAATTGATGTTATTTGTTTTCCATTATATGCCATACATACATTTCCACAAGGGAGCAAGAAGAACAACATATGAGAAGATTTCATTGATATCAAGAATCTAAAGAACAAAGTACATAATATATGTATTCATTGTGTATATTGTATTCCTCTCCAACAGACTACTTTCCACAACAGCATCGATTTTGATGAAGAATTTGCAAAAATCTATGATATAAAGAATGAATGAAATGGAGTTTTAGATTATTCATATTGTTAATCATATTCTAGATTATGTTGGAATAAAACAAAATTAGGTGTTGTAGTTGAATTATTTATTATTACTGAGAAAGTATGATAATTCGAAATCGCACTGGCTTGTCTATTATATGGAAACTGCATTGGCATGTTCACAACAATAATGATATCAGTCGTGGTGAAAGTTTCATGAAAACTGGTAAAAGGAAGGTCTACCTATACCCTTTCAGCGTCTGTGTCATCATCATATTCATTCCTGTTACTCATTATAAGTTATAGTTGGTAGAGATTGGAGAATGATTGAAGACACATTTATGCTCTGTACCAAAATGCCACACTTATTTTCATTCAGATTCATATAAATCACAGGTTTTACATTTTGGTGCAATGTATAATCGGTGAATTCTATGAGGGTATTGTATATCTGCTCCACAAAAAATATACATTTGGAATCCCTTTCCTCTGAAAGAAAAGAACATTATATAAAACACTGGTTAGTTGAAAAATTGAAAGAAATTACCTTTATACCTAAACTGTTTCTTAGAAGTATCTACTACAGACAGACGTATGTACATTCTGGAATGGGCTACCCCCCATTTTTTTATATGTTCTGTCACATTCTGTATGATTCTGCATCTGGTTGAAAAGCTGTCTATATACTTCTTGTATCTTTATACTGTTTACACTGCGGCTGCGGCACAGAGCAATATCTCTTGAACTTGCTGGCCATATCATGTTATCTCACCCGCGAAGAGATTCGTTCAGATTCAAATGCATTTGCATGTCATAAATTCATGTCAAATATAACTGACGTTTACTGACGGAAACAATGGACTGAACGATTAAGACCGTGCTTGGCCCGATTTTTAAATGAGACTACGTGGACCACGGGCTGGTCCATAGTCTGACTACGGTCTGAACGAATTGAGACGAATTGACCATGGTCCGACCTGCCGCTGAACGTAGCCCTAGTGATTTTCTGGTGGTTTCAACTTCCGTTCAGATCACTGTATGATCTAAGGACCCAGACGGATCTTGACTCAACGATATACAGGGTGATTCACATAAGAACCGACATAGAGCCAATGAACTCAATTTACATACAGTTCATTGCATAGAGCAGGGGCATGTAGGGGGTCCCAAAACATGACAATTTAACGCAACTTACCTCTATACCAAGTTGCTTCCCTAAGAAGTTATAGGCTTTGAAAGTGAAGTTATAGATTTTGAAAAAAATCAATGTCTCCGTTATTCTCTTTCTCTAGTTTTACATTGTTGAAATTAGATTTTTTTCATGAAACAAGGGGATTTTAGGATGTATCTCCTCAACCACCAGATTTCACCATTTATTTGAAAATATTCACCAAAATAAACACGATCCACTAGATGTCATAATTTGTCACAAAACGAAAACAACACTGTCACAACACTGTAAGTGACACTAGTCTTGTATCAGCAGTGAACTCAATATTATTCCTGATTTTATACAAGTGTAAATACTCAAAGATATTATTTATATTGAGTTCATTGATTATCAGTAGCAATGAACTCAATGTTCACAACAGTATTCCCCCACAGGGTATTCCCACTAGAGCTATGTGAACTTGGCTACTAGGCGGCAACCATCAGCTGCTAAATTTTCTGGCAGCCACGATTTCCGATGATACCCGAGAGACCAGTACGTAGCGCCCGATCTCACATTAAAAAGTACCCTGGCTGATGATAGCCAGATGCTGAATCATGCATAAATCATGCATAATTAAATAATTAGTTATTTCTCGAACTCATTGTTATAGTATAGATTTTGTACTGGTTTTCATTATTGTTTGAATGGCCATAAAAATGTATATGATCCAAAGGAGATATAATTATTTACACTCATACTCATAAAGTGGAAGGCGAGTCACCCCTTCATAACATTCACAATCACAAAAGACCCCGCACCATTATTTACATTGAAATTAAGGTGGCTATAATTGACCTTGTCTACGGCGAAATTTTGTGAAAATCTAGGATTGAATGGATCAAATCATGCTGAACAAGAAATGTTCTTTGGTCCAAGGTCCGTTTTATGCCCGTTGAAAGAATTCAGTTTCTGTCCACAATATATGCAACATTTTCTGATAGATCGACTCTTCACCTGACCTCAATTTTTTATATATCGTTAAGCCAAGATCTTTTGACCAGGTAGACTTCCATTATCGTGTGTTATCGAATGATTTAAACCGAAGTCGAAAGTTAAAACCACCAGAAAATCACTAGATTTACGAAAAATTCGCCTGTGGTGCATTTTTTATTCCCTAAGATTTGGTGGTTTTTGCATTGTCAGGTTGGTCACAGTGAAACACGTGATACATTACACATTATAGACGCATACTTGGAATTCCTAACGAGACCCGCGGGGTCTCGAGACGATTGAAAAACACCCTTCAAAGCCTAAATCACTACACAAATGATCACAGCACAGTGGGCTGATGCCATAGTAGTGGACCAGAATGAAACCTCTTGACCAAACTCTGCCTCCACAATCTTATTGCGAAGAATAATCATCAAAAAACAACGAATCTTAACATAAAACGTGATGAGAATGGTTCGAAAGATTTAGACACTTCTGTTTTACAGGTGGCCATTTGGCGACTTTTGGATATCTGAGTTGGCAACACTGGTCGGCCATCTTTTGGTGACATTGACAGTGGCGATTACTGATTGGTGAATGGTGCTTGAATGAATATGAATATTAAATAATTGAATGGTTGTTAATTTTGCTTTGATATCAGCATCAGCAGTTGATATTAATAATAGTATTTTTGTCTTTGACTATTTCATGTATTTACATATCTGTTCAAGACATGGTGGCATGTTCAGCATATAAATGTGGAAACTCGACCAATAAGAAAATACCTGAGATCAATTTTCATCGGTAAGTAGTCCTTCATTGAGATATTGCCGATATTGATGTTTATGGTTTTTGTCTTGTTTAAAAATACCATGAGATGTTTATCATAGGGATCGTTTCTTTTCTGCTGTATTTAAAATTATATAGGAAAACACATTGTTGCCAGCTGCTGAACTGCTGACCGCTGAACATTAAATGTCGCAAAAAGTTAGGAAAAATACCGCTAGAAGTCGCAACAGCGAGCGAATATAGCAGGAAACCCACCGCAGGCCAAATATTTGAACATGTAGCGACAATTTTTTCGTGATTTATTGACATTTTTTATCACATTTCCTCATATTTAGTTAACATCTGATGATAAATCGTAGAAAACTTCATTTATTCAGGATCTGTTCAGAATGAAAAAGAGCGCATTATAAAATCAAAATGAATAGAGGTGTACAGAGGCGGACTGGGGGGCCGGGCGGTCGGGCGATCGCCCGATGGGCTGGGGCCCTTTATGGCCGGTAGAAATAGTGAATGAATAAAGAAATATATGTCTTCTCGACAGCTTTCTGGGGCATGAACTGCAGTTTTGTTTAGAAAAATCTTCAATTTCACCATCAGGTACCAATGGATATTTTAGAAGCATACCGAATGATCGAAAAAACCATGAAATCCTCGAAAAAATATCGCGAGAACATGATGTAATTTTGAATGATATACATAAATTCATTGATGAAGCAAATGAACTATTTATTTTCAGAGAATACGAAATAAGAAAGTTCTTTTGAAGAGAAAGGTGATGAAGCACCTCAAAATCCCATCAAGACATTCGAAATTGAGACTCCATGTGTAAAACCATTGATAATATTATCACCGCACTAGAATCCAGATTCAACAAACATAAAGAATTGTTTCACGATTTTGAACTATTTGATCCGTCAAGATTCACTGATGATCAAATAATATTAACTGAAAACTCAATAAGAATGATTTTTGACAATATCAGAAATTATCATTCTGCTGATGAAATGTAGACCTTGATAGATTTTACCCCGCAGTGGTAAAGACTGTCGAGTAATTTATCAAGAGATATGATG